GATTGCAACACAATCATTCTAGGTGTTGTATAGAGAATGGATTTTAAAAGAGGACATTGCAGTTGTGTAATCAAGAGACAAAGGTGGGGGCCGGCCCGGTGGCGCAGTGCTACAGTGCACCGCTTGGGAGTGCGGGGGCGCTCCCGCCAAGGGTTCGGATCCCACATACAGACCGGCCGCTCACTGGCTGAGCGAGGTGCGGGCGCAACACCGAGGGTTGCGATCCCGTTGCCGGTCCCGGTCCGGTACGGACGCGACACTGAGGGTTGCGATCCGTTGCCGGTCATGAAAAAAGACAAAAAGGAAAAAAAAAAAAAGAGAGAGAGACAAAGGTGGCTTGAAACAGAGTAGTAGCAGAGGAAGTGGACAGAAGTGAACAGGTTCAAGATTTGTATCAGTGGTGTGGTCAACACGTGATGGATTGAACAGAGTGGACAATGAGCATCTGGGGTTAAGCCTACCTATTTGTGCCTATTTATTGAGAAGAGGAAGACTAGGGTAGGAGTAGAGGGGGGTCGAGAGTTTAGGTTTGGATATATGAATTTTGAGATTCCTATTAGGTAACCTGGATATGTAAATGTAGAGTTCAGGGAAAGGACTAGGAGGGAATTAGTGTTTTTCATTTGTATTTTTTTTTGGCAGCTGACAGTACAGGGGTCTGAATGCTTGACCTTGGTGTTATCAACAGTGTGCTCTAACCAGCTGAGCTAACTGGCCAGACTGGGAGTCATAGTTTTGAGAGTCAGATGATAGTTTGAGCCTTGGGCCTCAATGGGACTTCATAGGGATAGTGTCTAGGCAGAAAGAATAAAGAGACCCAGGATTGTGCCCTAGGTTACTGCAGGATTTAGAGGTCAGGGAGATGAAGAGGAACCAGAAGGAGCTCAAGAAAGAAGAGCAGTAAAGTAGAGCAAGTATTTCTCAAAGCGTGGTCCCAGGACAAGCAGCCACAGGTCCACCCAGCACTAGTTAGAGATGCAGAATATCAGGCCCCACCCCAGATCTACTGCCTCAGAAACTCTAGGGGTGGGACCCATCAGTCAGTGCCTTAGCCAGCCTGCCAGGTGATGGCGATGCAGGCTACAGGTCAAGAACCACTGGGGTGGAAGGAAAACCAGGAAAGGGTGTTTCGGAAGGCAAGAGTATTTCAAGAAGGAAGGAGTGGTTAAGCGTGTGTCAGTACAGGTGAGAGTTCAACTAAGATGAGGACAGAGACCTGGCCATTGGATTTTGTAACATGGAAGTCATTGTTGGTCTTGACAATGGTGGTCGGGATGAAGTGGTGGGGCACTTCAAACCATGCACCTGAAAGAGACCTTGACCAGCTCCTGGTAGATAACCTCTAAGCCCTTGGAATATCCTGCTTAATGAGAGTGTCTTTGTATACTTTGGGCCATACTTGATAGTTATTGCTAATGAAGTCATTTATGGCAAGTGTCTATTTTTATTTGCCTGGGGTACTGGGTCATGCTGTATCAGTTTGATCTCGGGGATGGGAGCTGGAGACTGAGTAGTTGAGGTCAGTCATGCAGTGCTCTATGCCTATATGGCTGATCCCCAAACCCTGGACGAACTCTGAACACAATGCTCAGAGGAGCTTCCCTGGTTGACAGCTCTCTGCACGTGGGTAACACGTCATTGTGGGGAGAATGAAGCACTGTCTGTAGGACCGTGGGAGAGGACAGCTGGAAGTTTGCTCCTGGTCTCTCCTGGACTCCACACTATGTACCTTTGTCCTTTGCTGATTTTCATCTGTGTCTTTTGATGTAGTAAACTGTAACCACGAGTATAACAGCTTTTCTAAGTTCCGTGAGTCTTTCCAGTGAATCATCAGACCACATCAGACCTCATCAGAGGGTGGTCTTGACTTATCCACTTTTCCAAGTTTTGCAGTGGAAGGAGCAAAGAAATGGGTGATAGCTGGAGGAAGGCTGTTGGTTCAAGATGGGAATTTTGTCAGGGAAGGAGATACTTGCCGAGGGAGGAGATAGTTGGGCAGACTTGCCTGCCTATTGAAATGACAACAGAGACAAGGATAAGTTAGTAACTCAGGAGAAATGTTCTTGAGAAGGTAAAGTGGAAGGGATCCACTAGATAGCGCCTCTGATAGAAGCAGGGACAGTTCATTTAGAGTAACAGGAGGAAGCCAGAGAATATGGGGACAGTGCAGTTTTGGGGCAGACTTAGTGGTGTGGTGGTGGGGGAAGACTGATCGTTTGTGTTCCCTCAATGAAGCAGGAGGTAAGTTCACCCTGAGTGTGCAGGGCTTGGGGTGGAGGGCTGTAGATTTGAGGTGAGAGAGAGGATATGATATGGTCATTCTGGAGAGCAAGACCTCAAACAAGGAAAATGTGCTAAGATTGCAGGCAGGGTGAAACGCCTTTTGGAGATTTCCAGCCATGATTTTAAAATGAGAGTCAACACACAGTGGAAGCCTGTGCAGGTGCAGGCATGAAGTAAGTAGACAGCAGGATTTCACCAGCGCTGGACATTGCCAGCTAAGTGGGACAGAGAGAAGGTGTTTGCAAGTAAATCAGTGTAAGAGGGGATACACAAGGCATATTTGCCTGCAGCTGAATTTTGTTCAGTGGTAATTAAAGATATTTTTTCTTTTAAAACTAATCTGGATTCATTCTGGAGTAGAATGAAAAAAGCAAATGAATTTTTCAGATAGCTTAGCAGACTTCAGTTATGGTTTTCCTCTTTGAAGTGCCACTTCCAACTATACCTACCTCCCGGTCCTCATGGGGTGAATTCACTCTTTCTGGAAGTTTGGGAAACTTTGGAAAAGTCTGGGAAGCCCTGTGCTGCTGGTGTGATCACCTGACCCCTGACTAGCCCCCTGGCTTTTCACGGGGATCATCTTATGACAGGGTTCAACTAGGAACAGTGACAATATTGATATAATGGGATGGAGACTTTGTGCCCCTAAATGGTGCGGACAAGGAGGGCGGGGGATTAGCTCAAGACCCTCTCAGGGATGGGGTGGGCACTGGAGGGGTGGAGCAGGGGTAGCAAGCCCTGACACTGGTCTGAGAGTCCAGTATAGAGGCCAAACATGTCAGGGGAGACCAGGCAGACCATCGGAATGAGAAAGATTGAAATACAACAGGATCCTTTCCTCTTCCCTACCCCATGTCCCCAGAACCCCCCAAATGCAACAATTTGGGTCCAGGCAAGTGACTCAAACAGATTGGGTGCCGGGAAATGAGTCAGGGACCCAGATCCCAGAACTGGGGCACAAGGTGTTAGGAACGAGGTCAAAGCCCAGTTATCAGAACTGGGACACTTTCCATGTGGGATTTGTCTTCTTTACATCCTTCCTGCATAGATCCTGGGAAACAGAGTGTCCTTGAATTTGGGACCTGGCAGAACCTGTCAAGTGTGTGTGGGGGGCATATTTGGGGTTGGGTGAGTCTTTGGGGCAGTCGAGGAACAGGCACCTCCTCTGCCTTTAAGTACTGCCCTGCCCAAAATAGTTGCCTCCTTCCTGCCCGGCACCCCCCACCCCAGGGCAGCCCCACCCCTGCAAAGAAGATCCTCAGAATAAACAGCATGTTTATTTTGAACATTCAAATTTACAAAAACAAAAAGGTAACAAAAACCATGACATGGACCACACACACACACACACACACACACACACACACATTGCATCTCATGTCACTTTATGTACAAAATAGGGTGAGTAGAAGGAAGGGGGCGGGGCGGCTGGGGCAGGTGGTCAGTGGGGTGCACTCATTTCACAGTGTTGGACAACTTGACATGCTCACTCACTGCTCAGCCTGGGCCGCGTGAGCCCCTTCCCCATCCAGCAGGGTCAGGGGTCAGGGTGGGAGGTGGGGTCTGGGTGGCAGGCAGCTGGAATAAAGGGTGGACAGTGATCCCATCTCTAGGAGAAGGGTCCCTTCCCCAGTTTGCTCAGGTCAAGGGTGCTGGGCCACATAGACCAGGAGGGACCTAATTCTGGGGGAGGGGCCACTGTGTCATGGAGAGAACTGAACACAGCCAGAAAGCTGGGCTCACTTATCTCCATGTCTCAGCTGGGTGGCTTTGGGACTCCCTCACCCTCCCAGTCCTCAGTGTCCTCATCTGTTCAAGGAGGGCTTCGGCCTCCTTTAAGAACCCTTCTTGCCCAAATCTGTGATCCTAGGTCATGCACAATTGTGGCAAGGGGACAAGTCCCCTTGTGATGTTGGTGGGGGGCACCACATGCCACAAAGGTGGGAAAATCTGGCAGATAGCAGCTGTGAAGCACCTGGTGCAGGGTGTGGCCCAAAGCAGGAGTGTGAGGGACAGCGGTTTCCCTCCCTGCCCCTGCCTGGGGCTCTTGGGAGGCATTCAGCTCCCTGTTCCCTTTCAGCTCTCCTGGAAGACCCTCCCACAGCCTCATCAAGGGGACCCTGGCCCTGGGGCCACCCATCCCCGTGCCTCCGTTCCTCCACCTCAAGCCCTGTGGGGTGGTGAACAGGGTCAGGCACATCCCTTCAGGCCAAGGCACACCAGGAGCGATGGTGCCCAAATCCCACTCTACAGAGTTGGGGGTGCTCATCCCCTTGGGCTGAGGGGTGGGCTCTGGATGTGACCTGCTTTGGTTTGAAATTTGGGCTCCATCTCTTGCTGGCTGATTGACACTGGGCAGCTTACGTCACGTCTGTGCCCCCGTTTCCTGAAGCATAGTCCTAACTCATAACTGTGTTGCGAGGATAAACACGATCTGGGTCCCATCATCACTATCAGCCGGGGCACTATTTCCAGCTCCTCTTTCCCTGTCTTCCTGGACGTGTCCGGGAGTAGAAGAAGATATCAAAGCTTGAATCCAAACAGCAGGCGCTCAGTAAACGTACATAGAATGAGAAATAGATGAGGGACGGGTGGGGGCTTTGGAAACAGGGAGCCAGGCCCCTCATCAGCGACCCCGACTCAGAGCCCGCACCCCAACATCTCCAATTTGTTCCTGTTCCCTTTGGAGGGCCGAACGGGGTGACAGCATGGGAACAAGGCTCAGAGTCAGATGTCTCCTCATCGCCATGACAAAGCATAAAGGACTCAGGAAGAGGCATCTGGGTGGGCTCAAATGACCAAGCGAGTTCTGTCACCTCCCTCCTAAGACCATAATCTTCTCCTAAGGTCTCCACAAAAGCTACCTCCTTCCAACAATAACAGAAACACAATAAGGCTCAGTGTCCCGAAATCTAAGTTCCAAATTCTGCCGTCACCCCAGCAACAGCAGAAGTCATTATGATGAGACACTTGACCCAGCACTTGGGCTGATGTCATTGGCTGTTACCCGGGCAACCTCGATCTCAGCAGGTCTGCCTGAAGCCCACATCACTCTTTCTTGCAGGGGGGTTAGACTGTGGTGCTGAGCAATCTCTTTGTGCTCTGGAAATGGATAAAAGGATCTGGGGGCCGGAGGCAACAAGTCTTGGAGAAGCTTCCATGGCACAGGGCCCCACAGCCTATAGCCCTGAGTCATGTCTCAGGCTAAGTGGCCATGGGGATGGGAGACAGGGAACCAAAAGGGGGGCAAGAGGCACCAATGCCCACTTGAGTCAGGTAGCCTGCAGCTGCTCAGACACCTGCTGGGTGATTGGCAGGGGAGGGACACCTGCATCCTCAGCTCTCCTTTCTACCAGAGTGCCCAGGAATCATACCCCTCCTATGGGTTTCTGAGATGTTCGGGTGTTGCATAAAGGAAGATGTCTCAGGTGTCAGGTTGGAAAGCATCCTGACCTCTCAAATGTCTACCTTCTTAGGTGCAGGCTGGACTCAAAGACCCTCCAGGGCAGGCAGTATGGTGTGGGGGAAAGAGCACTGAAAAGGGAGTCAGAAGCCCTGGGGTTTCGTCCTGGCTCTGCTCCATTGTACTGTGTGAGCCTGTGCAAGTCACTCGCCCTCTCTGAGCTCTTCCCCAACTCTCACAAGCAAGAGGTCAGCTTGAATGGCTTTTCTCAGCTCTGACATTCTTCTGCTCTCTTGGGGGAGCTGGAGAGGACTCAAGGGTGGGGACCAGGAAGCCACCCTTCAAGACACTCTCTGGGAAGCCCTTTGAGACACTCTGATAGGTAAGTATGCCAGGCTGGGGGGATCTACAGGGAGCTGGTTTTTACAATCCATGTGTGAGGTTGGTCTGCCTTGAACCTTGCTCTTGACCCTGACTCTCTGGAGCCAGCTGCTAATCTTAACCCATGCCCAGCCTGATCCCCTCTGCTGCCCAGTCCCAGGACCTGCCCCTGCTAAGCCCCTGGTCAACAGGTGGGTCCTCAGGGCTTCTCCACCCGATCCACCTGAAATCACAGACCATTTCACATTCGATCTGGAGAGCTCCTGGAAATGACCAAAGCAAGGGCCTCAGCTCACAAATGAGGAAGGCCAGGCCCAGAGAGGCTGGGGACTCATGGAAGGCCACAGAGCAGATCAGCAACAGGGCTGGCTAGCAAGCAAGGGCTCCGCCCTCTCAGCCCAGTGCTCTGCCGCCCACTCCATGCCTTTCCTCGCCCTCTTAGCTTCTTCCTTCCTTCCCCAGGGCCATGCAGAGGGGTTAGGTAATGTGGCTCTGCCAGAGGCAGGGTCTCCAGGGTCACGGTGCCTCTGCCTTAGGCTGTTCCCAGCCCAGGCTGAAGCTGCCCAGGCCGTGTCCTAGGCAGGGAGGAGGAGGAGTGACCCTGCCAGTGGGCCCAGCTGTGAGTGGGCACAAGGGATGACTACAGCCCTTTGGCCTCCTGGGGTCTTGGTCCTTAGTCCTCCAGGCTGGAGCTGGGAAGGGAAAGTCCTGGAAACTGAGGTGAGGCTGGGCCAGGCATGGAACCAGCATTCGAACCATGGCACACAAACGAGGAAGGAGGAAGGAGGAGGATGCGGATGGCGGGGCGGCTCCAGCAAGAGCCAACTGCCTTTGACTGGCAGCTGGCAGAGAGATGGAGGAGAGAGCCTGATCTCCCACACCTCCCTCATCCCCTTCTACCGCCTGTCGTGGCCCTGAAGGGGAAGGGGCCAAGCCTGCAGCATTGGGAATGGTGGAGGGTCACGGCCACCTCCACCACTGAGATAGTGGGACCTCCGCCGTATACAACTCCAAGGGAGATACTTTCAAGATAGTGGAACAGGGTGGGGTGGTGTGAGAGATGACTCCAGTGTAATGCCAGGAGGGCGGCAGAGCCTGGACTCACCCTAGGCTCAACCTGTTGACTTGAGATGCTTGTCCCCATTCAGGTGGGGTTAGGGGACACCCATAGCAGCGCATTCTGGAGATGTGGGTATTGGTGAGGGGAAACGGAAGGCATAAGCAGGAGTGGGGCAGGAAGGAAGGCCAGTGTGTGGGCAGGCTGAGGAGGGGATGTGCCCCCATCAAGACCCCCGAAGTGGCAGGCAAGGGAGGGGCTCTGGACGAGGTGGCCCCTCATGCCTTGGCCCTCCCCTTGCAGACATCAAAGGAGGCCTTTGTTGCACCCCCAAAGGCTTCCACCAGCTTGTCTTCCCAGGGAAGCACGTTGCCCTGCAGTGGCCCGGTGCAGTTGGCAATGCCCAGGACCTGCGCGGGTGTCAGGGCGTGGTCCCATAGGTTAAACTGGGCAATCTCACCGACGAAGGCCTGAGTGGCATCAAATCGGCCACCCAGGGTATCCTGGGCCAAGAGAGCAGCAGAGAAAGAAGGGAGACATGGCATGAGGGAGGAGAAAAGACAGTCAGGCAAACTCAAGAGTCAGGTCCCTGTCCTGGCTGAAGTCCTGCCCTAAAGTTCCAGTCCCACCTCCAAGGTTCTAGCCCCACCCCCAACTTCTGGCTCCACCCCAAGGCTCTAGTCCCTTGGGCAGGTCTCTGCTCTTGCTGGGCCTCGCAGTATGCCCACCTGCAGAATGGCTGGGTCAGATTGAATGATCATTGCTGTTTTCAGGTTCCCTCTGCTCAGCTCCCCCTCCTCAGGGGCCCTGGGTGAGTGGGATAACCACTTGGACCTCCAGTCCCAGTACCGCCTGAGCCTTACCTGTTCCTGGCCCAGGATAAGGATCCCATGAGGCTTGATGGGGTGCCAGGCAGCCAGGTTCTCACCGGAGCCCCGCAGCTCCCCATCCTGGTAGGCAGACCACAGGCCATCCCTCGTGGTCCAGGAGATACAGATGTGGTGCCAGCCACTGTCCTTCAGGCTCAGGGGCAGCTGGGCTACCTGGACACAGGTCCCCCAACCCCAGGTCAGAGGTGCCACAAGGCCCAAGGCTGGAGCAGTAGGGTGGGGGGTGGGAGACCCATGTCCTTCCTTCCAGAGACTGACCCGAGGTCCAACCCTCCCCTTCTTACCAGCCCAGTGTCTTTCCCAACCTCTCCCTCCCCTTTCCCGTGACCTAACCAAGCAGCTTCACTCAGATCACAAGGGACTATCCAGTTTGGTTTTCAATTGTTTCCAGATAGTTTGTTCACTCTCTAGCAGACCTGTGAGGTCATGCAGGGTAGGAGAAGTGTCTCACAATCCTACCTGCCCTTGAACACCTCACACAGTCCCCAGCACACTGCTGGGGCTCAGGAAATACTGGCAGTGACAGAATGAGCCTTGGACTGAGAGTCTGAGCACTGTCCTCTGGCCCTGGCTCTACCACCAATCCCCTGTGTGGCCTTGGGGGGGGGGGGGCTGCTCTTTCCTCCCTGGACCTCGGTTTCCTCATCTGTAAAGTGAGGTGGTCAGACCAGGAACAGCAAGTACTCAGTCACACCTGCTCCTCAAGGCAGACATGGCTAATCCATCATGATCCTAGCTAGACTAGCCTCAGACTCTTTCTTGTCACAGTGCTCTGGGAGGCACTGCTGATTGATTAGAGTTGGCCTGTGAGATGAAAGGTGCTTGCTGTCTGTGGATTTGGTGCTCCCAAAGGGCTCTTTCATCTAGCAAGTTCTCTGAGATCACAATTTAATGTAACATTCTCTGAGGCCTACTTGGTGCCAGGTCTTGTTCTGGACCCTGAAGACATGGGCCTGGTCCTAGTCTTAAATGAGCTGAGCCTGCACAGGAGGGAAGGATCTGGGGGACTACAAGATATAATACTACAAGAAAAAATAACACGGGCAATATAGGAGGAAGAGAGGCTGCAAAGGACCAGAGGAAGAGGGGGCTGTGGGAGAAGAAGACATGGTGTCTAAACACATCTGGAAGGACAATGGAATCTGACCGTTCCATTGTCATGCAAATCAAGTGGCTGGCACAGCAGGAGCAAAGGCTTAGAGGCTGGAATACAAGGGGACCAATGAGCGGCCTGTGAGGTTGCTCCAGAGGTTCCTGGAATAGAGCTGCTCGGCGCCCTGTCCAGGGTGCTGAATTTCTTCTAATGAGAACTGAGTAGGCAAGACCAAGGATGGCAGCCGCGGGGTGATGAAAGGAACAGGGTAGTGGGATCTAGATGGAGTCCAGCTACCCTGGTGGTCTTAGGGCTTATTGGGTCACAAGAGAAATTCACTGCCCCCTGAGTCCATCTCCTTCCTCCTCGTCCTGCAGGACACCCATGGAAGGCGCCTCCTGCTGAGCTGGGTTGTGGTGGCTGTCAACCACTCCTAGTGGCTCTATGCGGCTGTGGGCTGGTCACAGGTGGGTGCTATATGTGGTGTCTGCATCTTCAGGCAGTCCCAAAAGACCACCATGCCTGCAAGACCCAAAGCAATGTGGCAGGCAGGGGGAGGAACTTTGGGGAGGGCAATGGGAGTGATACGATGCCCCCACCCAAGGCCTGTCTTTGTCCTCCCTTCCAGCCAGGCTGGGGGAGGGGCACGGGGGTGGAGGCCTGGGCATGAGGAAGATGGGTGGCCCAAGAGCAGAATGGGGGGGCTTAAGAGGTTATTTCTGGACCCCAAATCACATCATCACTCTTTCACCAGCTGTGTGGCCAGAGTGCACTATTCCCCCTCTCTGAGCCTCAGCTTCTCCATCTGCAAATGGGGATAATGAGGGTACCTACCTCCCAGTGCCATCGGGAAGGTTAAGGGTGATAATGTAAATAAAATACTTATTAGCACAGTGCCTGCCATAATAAGAACAGTTACATTTATCGACGCTTGCTAAATGCTAGGTCTGCTCAAAGCCCTCTGCATGTATTTAAGCCACTTATTTCTCACTACAACTCTATGAGGTAGGGACTATTGTCATTCCTGTTTTACAGATGAGGAAACTGAGGACCAAGGTGTGTAAATGACAGTCTAAGGTCACAGTGAACCACGACTCAAATCCAGCACCCAGCCCCCGAGGCCTGACCACGGCACCATTCTACAGTCCACAGTGGGGAGGAGCAAAGGGCTGGCCCCAGGGGAGGAGAAGGGGTGAGGAGTCCACCAGCGTTGCCTCCCCCATCTCCAGGCAGGTCCTTCCTTCTCTCTGTGTCCAGGAGAGTGATCGGGGCCCTGGGGGCAGATACCTGCAGTCCTGTCTCCATAGCTGGGCCACTGGGGAAGTCACTGAATCTCTGAGAGCCTCACTTTCCTCCTCTGCAAAATGGGGACAACACTGTGCCTCTATTGGACATAAGTCCCTCTTCAGCCAGCCCCATGTCTGGCTCGTCTTTGTATTCCCAAAACCCAGCCTGGCACAGAGTAGGCATTTAATGGGTGCTGAATATGCAGAGCTGGAGAATTAAAGGTTGCAACCCATGTTTGGGGCCCAGTGTTGCGCAGGTGCTCCTGGAGGGGTAACTGTCCCCTGCCTCCCTGTCCCTCCTGCCCTGCCCAGCCCGTTTACCTTGTCGTTGATCAGCAGCTCCATGGGGTCATGGCCTGCCTCCAGTAGCACAATC